TGAACGATGCGAAAATTTAATTTTAGTAATTTTATGCTAAAATCATATCATATTTATGTGTATTTTGTGCTGTTGAGCATCCAATGGATTCTAAATGTATGTGTGTGATATTCCGAGGTGATAATTGAATTAGAATGGTCAAGAACAATAGCACAGAAGCAAAACCATTTGCATTTTAAGTACAAACACAAATTATCAACATAAACAAATAAAATTAATATTGTTTGACGGTTTATACAATTTTGCCGGTAATGACAACACACTTACACACAGTCACAAGCATTCGCTCGAGAGACTCGAAGCCGACGCAGTACGTAAGTGTGAGTGTGACACACGGCATCGGCTTCGAGCTGAGCTGTGTACGTTTCACGTACAACTGAACGCCTAGGCTTTCAATGCTACAAATGCACGAAAGACGTGAGAATAGCAATGAAAGCCTAGGCGTTCGGTATTTAAAATGTACATAAAAACTATGAAAGCCTCATCGAACGACTGTAGGCTTTCATCAACGCCTATCTCGTTCACTCGGGTAGCCGCATTGCTTGCATACGCACCAAACATCGTGTTAAAAATCAAGTGAAAAAAGGATTTGGAATATTTTACATAGTGCCATTTTTTGTGAAAATCAAGTTGATAAGTGAGTGTAATGCATTAAAATGTTGTATTTCGATTATATTTTGGATTCTTCGAATATGTGTTGTGAAATTTTTTTGTGAGTCATGCCAAAAATGGCGTCTCGGCCCGGGTGTGAGACACAGTAGTGGTCCAGTTGTGAGACACTTTATGTTTTGTACTGAAAGCATATAGAAACGTCACATTTCGTCATTTTTGTTGCCATAACGCATTTATATGCAATTGAAATTGTGTTTCAACTAATCTTTTCGAATTTTCAGCCATGTTTACTCCAAAAAAAGGCTGCCGAAAATAAAGAATTGAATTTTGCTGCGCTGCTGCCAGCCATTAAATAAGCTTCGTTGGTTTTGGATGCGATTGGCCCTCTGCAAGGCACTACTCTAAAACCAAAGTCGAAACGTGGACGAAAACCGATGGAAAGTGCTGAATTGACTACTGAAATCACCACCGCCTGATGATGATACAGACTTTTACATCATTTGCTTGAAGCTGTTGCCGAACAACTTGACCGCTGCAAACTCTATTCGATACAACGGATGTAAGCGGCAAGTCCATTTGAAATGTGCTGATATGCGGGCAAGTTTCTTTACTTGCAAACATTGCGATACCGACAATGAAGAAGAAGACGAGGACATTCACGATGATGAATGAAAATTGATATTTCCTTGTCATTTAAGGCCATTGAAGGCCCATTTTTATTATTTTAGCCATTGAAGGCCTTTAAAATAAATAAACATTTATATTTCAACATTTTATGATGAGTTTTCTTCATCTTCTTCCCTAGGGGGAAAGAACTGTGGAAATATGTTGTAAATATTGTAATGCCCGTTGTAAGTGGTTCGGATTTAATTAAATCCAAAGATTTAATTTTCAACTTTGCGGCCAAAAAATGAAAGCTGATTGGGTAGGACGTAAAATTTGGGCGAAAACAAGAAAAACTGGCTTTTTGAGTACACCCGATAAGCCTTATGGGGCCTTGAAATCATGATTTTCCCGAATTTCGTTAAATCCTAAAGATTTAACTTTCAAGTGCGGGATTTAAGCATTTTTTACGCAAAATCATGTTGCAAATAAGTCAAAAATTGTTGGAAATGACCGAAAAATTCTAAATCAGCAAAAACCCCAACCACTTTGTACGTTTTTTGAGTCCAAATATGCAAAAATATCATTTTTCGTATATTCTCAACATTTAATTTTCAAATGCGGGATTTAAGAATTTTTCACGTTAAACAGTGAGTCAAATAAGGCAAAAGTTGTGGGAAATGGTCCGAAAAATCTAAATCAGTAATAAAAATCAAGCACTTTTGACCATTTTTGGGTTCAAATAGGCAAAAATATCAGTTTACGGAAACCCTCAGTATTTCACTTTCACATAATGGTGAATTTTTTTGGGAAATCTCGTTTTTCATCCAAAACTTCTAGCCAGATTTAAATCAAGCACCGAAAGCCATATCTGTGGCTTGTTTATGGGGATTTCAGGTCAGCACAAGATTTAGATAGGTAAATGAGTTTTTATGAAACCATGAAAGTAAAATCCCAATAGAAATCTCTTTTGTGATATTCTAAACGTCATGAAACTTTCTCAATCTTATTTTTTACCAAAAAACTCAATCCCTGAAATTTTGAAGCCAATCGAAAGCGATTTATGGGTATCTCCCATACAAATTTGGCCAGTTTTGCCAATTTTTATGAAGGGAGGTACCTGTAAATCGACACCGATTGGATTCAAACTTTCTGAGATTTCATTTTTTAGGGAGAAAAATAAGATTCTGAAAGTTTGAAATTAATCGAAACCGATTTACGGGTACCTTCCATACAATTTTTTTGAAATTTTGACTAAAATTACCGATTTTTGGACAATTTTGTATGAGAGGTATCCGTAAACCGATTCTTATTGGCTTTAAACTTTTTGAGGTTTCATTTTTTGGAGAAAAAATAAGATTCAGAAGTTTGATTTTTTGTCCTCAATTTTTGTCGAAGTTTTCTTGGAAACTCTCATACAAAATTGTCGAAGTTTTAGTCAAAGTGACCGATTTTTCACTTTATTTTCATTATTATATTTTCACTGCCTTTATTTCAAGAAAATTCACAAAAAATAACCAAAAGTATTACCTACGGGCAACGCAGGCCAACGGTACGAAAAAGTTCGGGATTACCAATGTAATTCTTTTTATTTTACTCTCAAAATCGATTGGTGTCGCAGACGTGAGGTAAACTTGGACTAAAATCAATGTAAAGCTTTATTCGATTTACTTACGTTTTCGTTTACTTTGATCACTTTTCACAATTGAAATTCGGAATTTTATTTATTTAACAAGTTTTTTTTTAGAGACGCAGAGATCTGTTCACTTCGAATGATAGACAATGTATGTTTCAGAACGACGCATTCACTTGTATTATATTATACATCCACAGTCGATTCTATTGTCGACCTCATCGCTCAATGAAAAGTCCAGATGAGTGTGCACGTGCAGAGTAGAAAGAGACATCGATACGAATATCGAGATTAAAAATTACTCTCAGACGGAAAACAGCGCCGCTTAGCAGCGGTTTTTTGACATTAAACATATGAAACGAAATGAAACGTCACACTTCAATTTTACTTTGCGCACATAATTCGACTCAATTTACTCTTTGCAATGGCACACGTAAAACAGAAATTCTGCAATATTATTGGTTGTGAATATAAAAATGGAACTGCAAAATCAAATAAAGAAGTTGTGATGTTGAAGGTGAACATAGAATAAATACAATGCAATAATCAGAAACAATTTAAAATGTCTGAATTATATTTTAGGTTGCCAAAACGAGGTGATAAAAGACGACAGCATTGGATTGACAATATAAAAAAAACATCAGCTTTCAACACTTAGCTTCTGAATGTGAAACCTTGGTAAGTGTGAGCATTCGTTGTGCGAATAAGCGACATGGAGACTGGAAACAAGTGCGCGTGTGGTAGTGAGCAGCCTGATGCGATGCTTCTCAATGTGGCGACTAATACACGCGCACTTGTTTTCACTCTCTTTATTGCTTGTTCGCACGACGAATATTCACACTTACTCATGCGCCATCTGCATACAAAAATATAAGACAGTGCAACAATGACATTTGCTTCGCTGCTTCAATGCTTCAATCCTGCAAAAAACCCTAAGCAACAAGAAAAGTATTTCGTTTTATATTATTATTATTATTATTATTATTATTATTCAACAGTTTTTCAAATTGATCAAAGTGGCTTTTCCAGTTTCACCAGTTTATCAAAATTTTTACTTTCTTTGATCCGATTAAAGCTGAGATCCAATATTTTGAAATCAATTGAGAAATGTCGTAAATATATTTGGCACCATCTTCATAAAAGTGTTCTCTGTCTGTTTCTGTGTGCGTGTGTATGGGTGTCCGTGCCGCCGCGTTGATGTTGCTTTTCTTCTTTGTTTCGTATATATGTTCAGGCAATAAGTATGATTTCAATCTAAAAAAAACTAGTGAAATTCAATTGAACACACACAAAACCTAGTAGTTAAACGTTATAGGGTTTCGAGATAAACTTAATATTTATCCCGAAACGTCATAAATTCCATCACATTAGGGATAAGTTTCAAACTGACATTTAACTGTCATTCGCATTCAATATTTACATTTTGCATAAGTTTTCACACTGATTTGATCAAAATTTATATTTAGTTACGAAATGAACGCAATTCGACTGTCTCTTGATCAACCGGTAGACAATCTACGCCTGGCTTGCAACGAGTTTGATATTTTTGTTAAGAAAATATCACACACTCTCAATTCATTTCAACTCACGCATAAACAAACTGATGAAGTTTACAAAGTTATGTCACAGCTTGTCGCAAACCATTCTCAACTTTGTCTGAAATTATTGGAAAGTGTGTGCAAGTCAGATCAAATTAAATTAAATCAATTAAAGAATTGCAGAAATATATGTGTGCTGAAATCGACAAATTCAATAGATCATACAAACGACTTAACACTTATCGAAATGATCCTGCATACGTTGAACCAGAAGAAAAGGCGTTGGGAATGCGTTGGAACGCTAATTTCAATGCAAAATCAGATGTACAGCAACATTTCCTATCACAGACTACATTTATGTACGTGCAAATACTCAAAACGCTGGCAGCATTATTTGCGGATGAAAAATTCAAACAATTTATATGTATTTCTCAAATCATCATAATTGCACACCAGGTGTTTACGAGAAATTTTGCTGCGGTTCAGTGTTCCAAAATTCTGAGTTTTTTCAAGCCAATACAAATGCAATCCGATTGAGACTGTCAATTGATGATTTTGTCGTTGTGAATGGTATGAAATCAAAGGCAAAAAAACACAAATTATGCGGAATTTATATGCAGATCGAGAACCTTCCAGAAAAATTACTCTCAAAATTGAACAATATCTATTTTGTTGCCTTGGTCAACACTGCGCATATGAATGACGACTTTACACAGCTGGACGACGTTTTAAATGTGATATTGCGAGATATACGTATTTTGGAGACGAAAGGACTGAAAGTTGACGGCAAAGATCTCAAAGGAACGTTGGCACAATTCGTATTCGATAATTTGGGTGGCAATGAACTTTTTGGCTTTGTTGCATCGTTTAACGCCAACTATTTTTGTCGTATATGTTTTTGCACAAAAGAAGAGCACCGTGAATTAGTTAGAGAGGATCTACAGCTACTGCGAACGATTGAGCATTATGACAAATGTGTTGAATTTATTGAAAATAGTGAAACTGAAGACTTTACAACTTCGATGGGAGTGAAAAAATCTTGCCCGCTCAACAAATTGAAGTATTATCATATCATAACCAATAAATCGGTCGATTTAATGCATGATTGCAATGAAGGTGCTATTCCATTTGCTTTACATCGCTTATTCTCATATTTCCTGGACAAAAAGTTGCTAACGCAGAAGCAATTGGTAGCTATAGTGCGAGATTTCAATTACGGTGTGTTATACAAGCGAAATGTTCCATCACAGCTTGACATAAAAAAACCGAACCTTGGGCAAAATGCAACACAGCTTTACTGTTTATTCATTCACATTCCATTCATTATGGCGGATCTGCGAGTCAAATTGGAGAGTGTATGGCCTAGCTTCGGGTCACTTCTCAAAGCAATAACCATCATGTATTCGTCGAAAATAACTGAGAGTGTTGTTGAGCTAGAAAATTTAATCGAAATACATTTGACGAATATACGAAAGCACTTTGATAAAAATACACCACCAAAAGATCACTTTCTAACACACTATCCGTTAACGATTCGATGTATGGGACCATGAATTGAAAATATTGAATTAGTGAAAACAATAAGGTGTGATTCAATTGTTTGTTGATTTATCGGTTTTCACGTCGCTCAAGAACATATTTATTAATTATGGCTACCAAGCAAAATTTGAGCAAATACTCTCGGTTAAAGAGAAAAGTGAGTTTGTTGTGCGAAGATGTGAATTTCTTACGTTCATGCAAGAAACAAAGTGTCATTCCCAACTTTATTAAACTAAAGTGTGCGGTTGAAAATAGTCGCTCGTTTAAGGCAAAACAAAAAGCCGAAAAACAGTGGCTGAACGAAGAAATAAAATTCACATTCAAAAAACTATCGGACGTAGAGTTGCAAGTGTACGCGTTACACTTGAAGATAACAAAAGACCTGTGTGTGCATGAATATGATGGGTGGACGGTTTTTGAGTGTGATTTAAGACAATACATTTCATCGATTGTAAACAAGAAAAGATTAAAGCAAAGCAAAAAGTTGAGAAATTTGATTGAAAAACAAAAACGTGTTGCGTGTGTTGCGCCTGAAATTGTTCCTGATTTTGTCATCAATCAGTCGAGCATGGATTTTAGTGAAGAAGAATTGAACCTTTTAAACAAAGGCCTGAAATATTCGCCAACACCGTCTGTTTTACCGCTAACCACTGCAATTCTTGACATTGAAACTGTCCTGAAGTTCAGAATGAACTCAGTTAAAGATGACATTAGAAATAAGGTGGAGAAAGTGATTGATTCGTTAAGTGAGAAAAAGAGCAAAGTAACAAAAAAGATGAACAATGAGTTTGACATTATTAAACAGCTAAAAAGCAAAAATTGTTACTACATCAAAGCGGATAAAGGCAACAAACTTGTTATCATAGATAAGGCGGACTATGATGAGAGAATGTTAAATTTAATCAACGAATGCGCCTATAAAAAAGTCAAGAAAACTCCTCTACCGAAAATGATTCGGGAAAGTGATAATTTGAGACAAAAAATAGGAAAAGTGTTTGGTGCGCGTCTGGCTCGAAATCTCAAAGTGTCGAATCCAAAAGTTGCCAGAATTTACGGTTTACCAAAGATACATAAAGCCGGAAACAAAATGAGGCCGATTGTATCTAGTATCGGGACCACTGACTATCTCATTGCTAAATGGCTAGTGAAAGAAGTCAAAAAACTGCCACCTTTTGAGAGTTTTTCAGTCAGAAACTCAATTGACTTCGCTGAAAAAATTGAAAATGTTGTTGTGAATTGTGATGAGACTAAAATTTCATTTGATGTGTGTTCTTTATTTCCAAGTATTCCAATTGATGTTGCATTGAAGGAATTTGAAAAATATTTAGAGCAAATTGATATTCCATTCGAACAAAAATCAGTTTATTACCAAGCAGCACGTATGTGTATGGATCATAGTTATTTTCAATTTCGTGATTCGTTTTATCATGTGTCGACTGGAACTAACATGGGAAATCCGCTTAGCCCATTGATTAGTGAGTTATTCATGTCGGCATTCGAACGAAAATTAAAACAAGAAAACTTGCTCCCCAGAATCTGGTGGAGATATGTAGACGATGTTTTCGCGATAATAAAGAAAGACGAAATTGACTCAGTGTTAAACGTGCTCAACAATCGATTCGATTCGATTAAATTTACGTGTGAGAAGGAGGATGATAAATGTAAATTATCGTTTTTGGACATGGAATTGTCAACTTCTGTGGACAATAAAATTGATATTGCCATTTACCACAAACCCACTGACACTTTGAGAACAATAACTAGTGATTCAAACTGTAGCATGCAACACAAATTGGCTGCGTATCATTCAATGGTTCATCGATTGTGTCGAATGAAACTCTCAGCACAAAATTACATGACTGAATACGCTCGCATAAAACAAATGGCGAAAATAAATGGCTTTAAAGGAGATTTGGTCGACGTGTTGATAAAAAAACATTTAGACAAAATAAACAAATTTAATTTATCGACATTGTTTTCGCAAAACACGCCAGAAGAGGAAAAAGTTAGAGTTGCTTTGCCATATATCCCACAAATTATGAACAAGATAAAAAATAAGTTTCGTGAATATAATTTAACCATTGTGTATACGAATCAAACCAAAATAATGAATTTGTTGGGTTCAACCAAAGACACAATTGATTCTTTACACAAATCTGGCATTTATGCTATTCAGTGCCCCGTTTGTATGTGTGAATACATTGGACAAACGAAACGTAACATTTCAGTTCGTTTCCGTGAACATTGTTTGTGCATAAAAAACAAACAAGGCTACCGCTCTGCCTTAGCATTGCATGCATTGAACAGCGGTCATTTGAACATCGACATAAGCAACTTACGGTTGGTGAAAGAGATAGGCGACGCGCGCAAATTAGACGCATACGAAAGTTACTTTATTCAGAGGAGCAACAACGCATTGAATCTGGATAACGGGAACATCGAGTCAAATTTGCTGTCTCGGTTGCTATGATGCTACACCGACCGATGTTTTTACGTGACAACCGACGACTTTTCTGTTTAGTCGTGATGCTGATGATGGTATGATAATACCGAAATGCATTCAAGGTACTCTTTTCAAATTCTTTTGTTTTAAATGAATTGAAAATATTGAATTAGTGAAAACAATAAGGTGTGATTCAATTGTTTGTTGTATGGGACCAGTTAAAAACATATGGGCTTTGCGATCTGAGGCTAAACACCGAGTATTCACGAGTCTTGCTGATAAGACTAACAATTTTGTGAATATTTCAAAAACTCTGGCGTATCGACACCAAGAAGCAATGGCTAATATGGAACTTTCATATTTGGATTCTTTGATGAAATCCAAACGTCAAAGACGATTTGTTGATTTAAATGATTCTGATAAAATTCCAACTGGCAACATGGATATAGGAAAAGTTACCGCGATTGATTTTTTTCAATTAAATTCATTCGAATACCGTGAAGGACTTTTTGTTTTGAATTCTGCAGTGTTATACGAAATCAAACACATTTTAGTCTATAACGATGACATTTTTCTTGTTCTGATTCCTTATACAGTAGTAGGATATGATTTTATAATTCTTTAGAAATTGAAATAGTTGAAAATTGTGACATATCTTTAATCGCATTACACGATCTCCCAGATAAAAGTGTCTACGAAAAAAAGTACAGCAAAGAAAAGAAATATATTATTGTTGATTCTTTGGAATTAAAATACAACTTTTTACAATAAAATTTAAATTTACGAGTCTTTATTTAATTCATTATAAAATATCACGAACAAAGCTGTAAGCTTTATCTCTTTGTACTTATTCCAGATCTTTCGTTATCTTGTAGCAGCTATGGCTGTTCACTACATTACATTTATTCTTAAAACATATATATTGCTTGATTTTCAGTTTGCAAATTATACATAATGATATCTCTTTCATTTGTTTAAATATTCAGTCAACTTTTGTCACATTGACTAGTTTTGTAGCCATAACGAAACGAAATAACACTTAAATCAATAACCAAAATAATGAACATATTTTCATATCAAATTATCACGATAATGAGCACGTTTACAAATTAATTGCTCACAATCTGCAGACGAAGTTCCTCCATTCTAGCAGTTTTAGTGGTTGTGTTGCCCAAAGAGTAGACACATGTTTCCAAGAAATCCAAGAAGTGTTGCAAAACCGGTTGATGTTTTATTCCAAAAACTTTGTGCGCTTTAAAAAACATGTCCATTGTGCGTAGAAAATCAAAATTTTTCGGGACCTTTAAATTAAATTCATAAATTGTGTCACAAAACGATGCAATTTACACGTATATAATGAAAAACTCACAGGAATCAATGTTTTTTTTATCTCGATATAGTATTGGACATTCTTCTTATTCGATCCGGTGACGATGATGTATGGTGAATCATTTCTATTGTTTATTAGCTTCATTGGGTCAGATTCTGGATCCTGGGGAGATATAAATTCTGTCAACTCACGACAAAATGAGAAAATAATTGTTCATACCTTATCGTGCGAGATAAACACAAATTTGTGATAGCTTAATTCTAGGAAATCATTTCAATGTTTTTGAAGAATAATTAGAAGAATAAGATTGATTTTGACAGACTTTTTACTAAATATCAATAAAATGTAACAACAAAGTTAATACGTCATATTGTTTGATTTTTTTTGTTTTTGAAACGTGGTTTGAAATGACATACTCGTTGCTAATTTCAGTTCTAGACTCAGTTGAGCGAATAATTGGAAAAGTGATGTCGGCTAAATTGAAAAGTAATTCCATTCAAAAGGAATGATGTTATGTCTATAATTCTCTATAGAGAATTTATAAATGTTCAAATCATCTCGTTGATAGAATAAATTTCAGAAAAAAAACTGCGACCTTTTTTCAAAAATATATTTGATAGTTTGAATTCTTCAACAGACAGTGTTTGGCGCACGAAACACGAATACAGCAAATTTTTTAGATTACTTTGGACCAATTTATCATACAAAACCCGACCAATTTACATTCACTTGTGGAGATAAAAAAATGATGCAACAATTGTCGGAATATGATAAATCAACCGTTCGAATAAATGGGTATGAATATTTCCAAGGAAAAAATCGCCGTTGCAATGCAAATGTAAAACGACATGGAACAGATAATCGTACTGCATCTGAAGGAGAATTGCAAGAGGAACTCTTTGCTGGAGTGTTAAATTTGTTGCAACCATATATGGTGACCATGTGACTTCGCTCTTCAAAAAGGATATGGTTGTAGTTAAATGTGAAAACGGAGAGGTGAAGGGACTCGTTCATTGTGTTTTATGTGACACCGATATGGAAACTGAGACAAACAAAAAGAGGAGACGAAAATATCACTATTCACAATACTCCAATTTATTATCTGCTGACCCCGGAAGCAGTTCCAATGATGATCAAAATGAAGCAAATTGAGATAGTGTGAATAGTGTGAATAGTTTAAAAATGTGTCTCTCTAGATTTAAGTGCTCTATGCGGATTTTTTTAACTACTTTTAGCGCGAT